CAGATTTTTTTTTTTAAAAATTTATGCAGCACCATTGATAAACTCTCTCATTAGTTACAATAGTTTGAATTTTTCTTTGTCTCTGTAGTTGATCATATAGTACATGAATAGTAAGAATATCTTCCTTTCTAATGTTTAAATCTTATATTTCTATAACTTGTTTTATTGAATTGACTATAATCTATTGAATGCAATATTAAATAGTAGTTTGGATAGCAGGTAGCCTGCTTTTTCATGTTTCTAATGAGAGTGTTTCAAAGTTTTTCTAGAATTATAATGTGTATTTAGTACCTTTAAGTTCCCCTCTATTCCTGGTGTGGCACTGTAGGATCAGCACTGGACTGCCAAACACAAAGTCGATGGTTCAAATCCATCAGCTGCTTCTTGCAAACCATATACAGGATCATTATGAGTTGGAACTGACTCAATGTCTTTTAACCACAATATTCTTTATATATATATGTATTCACAATAAAAAGAAAATAAATTGTGAGTGGCCATTTAAGAAAGAACTATTGGTTCTTTCTTATATGTATATACATATATTAAGTATATGTATATACATATATATATATATTTAATTTTTGTATTGTGCAAATTTAACATAGCAAATTTGTTTTCCCAATTAACACACAAATTGTTCCCTGACATTGGTTGTAATCCCCAAGATGTGTCATCACTCTCCCTATTTTCTCCCCAAGTTTCCGATTTCCATTTGTCTGATTTTCCTTTCTCTCATGTCTTCTCATCTTTGATTTTGGGCAAATGTGACCTTTTGGACTTGTACTGTTGATTTGAGGAGCACATTCTTCATGTGTGGTTGTGTTTGTTTTATAAGTGTGTATATTTATTAATTGGCTGGAAGATGGATTCCCAGATTGTCTTTAGTTTCATGTTAGAATCAGGGCAATAGTCTCAGGGGTTCCTTTAGTCTCTTTCATATCAGTAAGTGTAGCCCTTTTTTTTATTTTTTTGAGTTTGTGTTTTGTTCTATATTTTTTTTACCCATTCTAACTGGAACTTTCTACTGTGGTCGTGGTCAGAGTGGTCAGTAGTGGTATTCAGGCACCATCTACTTCTAGTTTCAGGCTGTGGTTCATGTGGATCATTAATCCTTTGGACTAATTTTTCTTCATTCCATGCTCCAGGGAGAGTCCTTATGTGGCACTGTAGGATAAATGTTGGTGTTGTTAAGTGCCCGTCGAGTCGGTTCCAACCCATAGTGACCCTAGATAGGGTTTCCGAAGAGTGACTGGTGAACTTGAACCTCCAACCTTGCAGTTGAAACAGTTTTGAAGTCTGGCGCATTAACCCACAGCACCACACCAGGACTCCGTAGGATAAATATTGCACTGCTAATCACAAGGTCAGCAGTTCAAATCCATTAGCTGCTCCTCCAAAACCCTATACAGAGTCACTAAGAATCAGAATCAACTTGACAGTACTTAATAACAACAACAACATGTTCCAGGGAGGAAGAGACCAATAGTTCCTTCTTAAATGGCCACTCACAATTTTTTTTCTTTTTATTGTGAATTGAGTGAAGGTTTACAGACAAGATAATCAGTTTTATATTTTAAACATCATATGCTTTGTTTCATCTCAATGATTGCAATCGCCTCCATGCAACAACACTTGTCTGTGGTTATTCGTGTACAAATATCCTCATTCAAACTTTACATATTTGTGGGATATATGTATATATCTCCTTCCATACCCATTCAGCCTGTTTCTCTGTTCATGTATCTACACACAGAACACTCTTGTTCCAAGGTTGTGCATATATCACTATTTACCTCTATCCCCTTTAGCCCTCCCTGTGTCTTCACTTGTATTCATTATTTTCTGCCAGTCTCACTCTTCTTGTATACTGCCTTTCCTAATCTTGTACATTGACCACCTGGTCAACCAAGTTAGCATGTGTCTACCCTCTAGCCAATGAATAACTTTCCCTTACCTCCCACCCCTGGTAACCAACAAAGAATGTTTCTTTTACTATGAAAACCTTTTCTTGAGTTTTTACAATAGTGGTCTCATACAATATTTGTCTGTTTGAGACTGAGTAACTAACATAATATCCTCTTGATTCATCTACGTTATGAAGTGTTTCACAGATTCTTCTTTAGTCTTCAATGTTGCATAGTATTCTATTGTGTGTATGTACCAAAGTTTGTTTATCCATTCTTCCATTGATGGGCATTTTGGCTGTCTCTGTCTTTTTGCTATTGTGAATAGTGCTGTGATGAACATTGGTGTGCATGACTCTTATTTCTTGTCATGGCTCTTATTTCTTATGAATATATACCAAGTAAAGGGATTGCTAGGCCATACGATATTTCTATTTCCAACTTCCTGAGGAAGTGCCACATAGTTTTCCACAGTAGTTGGAACATTTTATACTCCTACCAGCAATGTAGGAAGGTCCTAGACTCTTAACACCCTCATCAACATTTGCCGTCTTCTGTTTTTTAAAACTTTGCTATTAATGCTTGTGTGGGATGATAGTTCATTGTTATTTTGATTTGCATCTCACAAGTTTGAACTTCAAGGACAGCAGTTCAAGCTCACCAGCCGCTCCTGGGAAACCCTATACTGGGTTGCTTCAAGTCTAAACCAACTCGATGGCACGTAACAACAACAATAGTGACTAATGATCATGAACATTTCTTCATGTTTCTTGGCTGCCTGAATGTCTTCCATGACGAAGTGTCTGTTCATGTTCTCTGCCCATTTTTTAATTGGGTTATCTTTTTCTTAAAGAAGTGTTGTAGTTTTTTTATAAATTTTAAACATTAGTCCTTTGTCTGAAATGCTGTTGCAAAATATATTCCCCAGTCTATTGGCTTCCTTTTCACTCTTTTTGTGAAATCTTTTGATGCACACAATCATGCAGTTTTTAGGAGGTCCCAGACATCTATTTTGTCTTCTGCTGTTTGTGTGTTTTTAGTAATATTTGGAAGTGTATTTATATCATGTACTAGAGCCCCTAAGTTTGTCCCTATTTTTCCATTAGTGATCTTTATAGTTCCAGGTTTTATCCTTAGGTCTTCAATCCATGTTAAATTTGTTTTTGTATGTGGTGTGAGATATGGGTCTTCCTTCGTTTTTCTATGAATGAGTTTCCAGTTTTGCCAGCACCCTTTGTTGAAGAGACTATCTCTCTTCATTGAATGTGTTTTGGCTCTTTGTCAAAGATCAATTGATTTTTTGTGGATGGACACTCACAAACTTTTTAAGACCCCAGATGTTATTCACCAAACTAGGATGTAAAGCATCATCTTTACTAACTGTGTCTTGCTTATTGACCTAGATGTCTCCTGAGGCTATACTCTTTAGCTTTCAGGATCAATAGTCCAGCCCCACTATCTCAGGAGTTTTTAGGACTGTGTCTCCTATATGCACTATTATTATTATTTTTAGTATATACAGAGCACTTGCAAATGTGTATGTAGAAATACACAGATGTATGTATGGGGATGTACGACTTCCTTCATCTCTGTGTTGAATTGATACTGACTCATAGTGACCCTATGCACAACAGAATGAAACACTGTCCCGTCCTGGGCCAACCTCACAATTGTTGCCATGCTTGAGCCCATTGATGCTGCCATTTTGCCAATCCATCTCACAGGGGCCTTCCTCTTTTTCTCTGACCCCTCACCTTACCAAGCATGATATCCTTCTTCAGTGACTGGTCCCTGACAATATGTCTGAAGTATGAGAGATGAAGTTTGGCCATCTTGGACTCCAAGGAGCACTCTGGCTACACTTCTTCCAACACATATCTGTTGGTTCTTTTGGTAGCCCCTGGTACTTTCAGTATTATCTGGGTATCTACTCACAAATTAGTTTCCCTCTATTCTTGACTTGTTAAGAGTTTACTTTTTTTAAAAAATAGAGTTAATGGATTTAATTAATTTATTTTTCTTTATGTATTGAGAAGAACACATTGTTTTTCTCAATAAACAGTATAGTGACTTACAGGGATGAATTTTCTTAGTTAGACTTTCCCTTAATTCCTGGAATCCAGCCTTTTTGGTGATAATGTATTATTTTTTAAACGGAATTCAATTTATACATTTTATTTCAGACTTCTACAATTTATGTGAAAATTTGGTGCCCGGTTTTAGTAATAAGGTTTATGAGCCTTATAAAATGGATTCCCTCCCCCTCCTCCTATTTTGTTCTTTAGGTTATTTTGTATAAGATAAAGATTATCTCTTCTTTCTAAGTTTACATTTGGAGGCAGTGGGTTGGTTACCAATTCACTATGTTTAATTATTAATTCATTTTCAGGTCCTTCTTGAATAAATTTTTAGTGGTTTTAAAACATAAAGTTGTCTATTTTATCAAAGTTTTCATATTTATTGACATAAAATAGTTCATGGAATATTCTTATTATTTTTAAAGTCAGAATTATTTAGTAATTTAGTAAGGTCCCTATTTCTACTGCTAATAAAGATTATCCAGATCTGGTACTTTCCTTTTTCTTATTCACTCTTAGAAGAGCTTTGCTATTATTTTAACTTTGAAAAGAATAGCTTTTGACTTTATTAGGCATTTTTATTTTTCTGTTTAATCAATTTTTGTTCTAGTTTTAATTTTTCTTTCTTTTATTATCTTCTGATGTGCTTTATAGTTCCTTTCCTAACTTCTTGAGTTGAATGCTTAACTCATCAATATTCACTCCCTTCGCCATGTGCAGTTTCTTACCTGTGACTTTGTATGATATATGCAATATTTTCAATTAACATTTGACTCATTTACAAAGCTAGTGCACAAATCAAGTATCAAAGGACCTTGAGCAAATCACCAAACCTTTTAGTAGCTCAGTTTTCTCATCTGTAAAATGAGGAGAAGAATTTCTGACTTGCAGAGTTATGAAGAGGATCCAAGGCATAACCTGTTTTAAACTCCTGGAATAATGCCTAAAATATGGTAGATGGTCAAAGTATGTCATCTCTCTCTTCTTCCCTTCCCTTCCTTTACTGCTTTGAATATCATGGAACTCTGGGCATGGAAGGAAAGAGGAATCGTGAAGCTTTCTCGAAGGCATTCCAAAATGTTTCCTTTACATCTTTGTTCCTCAGACTGTAGATCAAGGGATTGAGCATGGGGATAACCACTGTGTAGAACACAGAAATCAGCCTATCCCTAGCTAGTGAGTACTTGGAAGATGGGCGAAGGTAAACGAACACTGTGGTTCCATAGAACAGACTGACAGCCGTCAAGTGGGAAGCACAAGTAGAGAATGTCTTGTGTTTTCCCTGGGTCGAGGGGATTCTGATTATAGCAAAGAAGACACATATATAGGAGACAAGGACAATTGTCAAGGATACAGCTACATTAAAACTACTACAGATAAAGAGAATAAACTGAAGGACCCGTGTGTCAGAGCAGGAGAGTTTTAAAAGTGGGGGGATATCACAGAAGTAATGAGTGATGACATGGGAGTGGCAGAAAGACAAATGAAGGATCGCAGTACTGATGACCACCATGTTTATCAGGCCCACTGTATAACTGGCAGCCACTAGCTGTATGCAGAGCCTTGGGGACATGATTATATGGTAAAGCAATGGATTGCAGATAGCCACATAGCGGTCATAGGCCATGGAAGCTAAGAGGAAGAACTCAGTGGCAGCAAACAGTACAAAGCAGCTTGTCTGAGCCATGCAACCAGAGAAAGAGATGGCTTGATAGCCAGAGAAGAATCCCATCAACATCTTTGGGACTGTAACTGAGGAATAACAAAAGTCAAGAAAAGATAGACTGCTGAGAAAGAAATACATGGGAGTGTGGAGTCGAGGGCTGACCACAATGAGGACAAGGAGGCCCAGATTTCCCATCATTGTAACTGCATAGATGAAGAGGAAGAGGACAAAAAGGATGGGCTGAAGATTAGGATCATCGGTGAGGCCCTCCAGGAAGAAATCACTCAACAAGCTGATGTTACTTGCTCCCATTGGGTCACTGCAGGTCTGTAGGAGGGACATGCATGATAATGGTGAGCCATGCAGAGCTCAAGTCTTTAAACAGAGACTTGTAAGGGCTGTGTCTGGCCACCTAGGACATGACAGATAATGCACATTGACTAGGGCAAATACTTGATCCTGGTTCTCTCTTTTCTGGTCACCATACAGCATATTGACTGAGAGGTTTGAAGGCGTGAGTACAACATTTAGAGTCAGAAGAATGGGTCTGAATCTTAACTTTGCCATTTACTGTGTCTGTGACCTTGGGCTAGTGCTTTAACAGTTGTGTAAACAGGGATAAAACATCTATGTTGTAAGAAAGGTTGCAAGGATTGAAGGTGACAGTGAGTAAGTATCTAGCATGGCATAAGAAGAATAAGCAGAATTCTAGCTTCTTTTCTTCTTCCACATTGCACCTATCCTTAGTCAATACCTTGCCTAAACATAAAGTTAAGAACACAAATCTTACACAAGAGAGAGAGGTATCCTAGAAATTTGCTAGTCTTTTCATCATCACTTATGTACTTGGGGAACAGCAAGGAATGGATGGAGAGGAAATATCAAACAGCATAATACAGAAGGATCTCTGGTAACATAGTGGTTACAAATTGGGCTGCGAACCGCAAGGTCAGCAGTTCGAAACTACCAGCTGTTCTGCTGAGAAAGATGAGGGGTTCTGTTCCCGTAAAGATTTACAGCCTGGGAAACCCTGTACAGGGTCGCTATGAGTAAGAACCGACTCCACGGCACATAACCCCCACCATAATACAGAAGAGAATGTGCTTTAGAGTCAATTACATGAGGGTTAGAATTCAACTGTTACTTAGTAGCAGAGCAAACTGCTTAACATCTCAGCTTAAGTTTCCCCATTTGTAAAATGAGAGTATCAAATATTTCCTTCTTCATTTATTGTAAAGATGAATTGAGATAATTCATGCAACACACTTAGCAAAATGTCTGGTACATACATAACATGTGGCAAATGTTATCGATTATTATGATTGTTGTTGTTGTTATTAAGTGCCATCGAGTCGGTTCCGACTCATAGCGACCATCTATAGGGTATCTGAGGAGCGGCTGTGAGTTTGAACCACAGACCTTGTGGTTCGCACTGATCTAATCATACATACTCATAGATTCTACCACTTGCCCCCTGCTAAGAATACTTACCTTATTGAGCAGCTGTTACAAAATCATTGTGTTATAATTCTCCAGGGTGTTGAGGTACTAAAAATGGTGGGAGCTATTAACTCTACTCCAACATTGTGGCCAATTTCCTCCTCCTTTTTAGGCTCTAGTTTGTGGGCTTAAAAAAAAGAGAGAGAAATCAACAAACTGAAGTTTCAAAAGGAGAATGAAATTACCCACAATTGCCCAGGGATTTGGTGGAAGCACCAGAGTTGGAACTTAGATCTCCTTTTTCACAGTGTCATTTCTTCCACTAGGAGATCACGACCTCTCCTCTTTTAGAAGCCTGGAATTCTGAGTTCATCAAAGCACAAAAAGCAACTGCTTTACCCACCATTCCCTGAGAAATAGCAACTTTGAATTTTCTTAGGACCATTTCTTCCTTTTTTATTAATCAGTTTCTGATTATACTTTATTTTCATATTTTTTCTGCTGTTTGGGGGTAGGATGTTGTTGTTAAATGCAGTGAAGTCCGTTCTGACTCTGCAAAGGGTTTTCAAGGAGCAGCTGGTGTGTTTGAAGCACTGACTTTTTGGTTAGTAGTGCAGTGCTGAAAAAAATGATTTCATTGTATGGAGGTTTTTAGAATTAGAACACCTGGGTTTGCGTTCTGGTTCCATCATGTTTTAGCTCCATTAAAACAAAACACAAACCCACTGCCATAGAGCTGATTCCAACTCAGAGCGATCTTATTCTAAAACTGTACATCTCTACAGCACACATAGCTTCCTCTTTCTCCCTGGAGAAAAATACTTCTCTAACAGTATTGTACATATTGTAAATAAACAATATTGTATTATTAAATGGAGCTCTGGTCCGGCACTGTAGGATAAGCACTGGACTGCTAAACACAAGGTCGGCAGTTGAAACTCACTAACTGCTCCTTGGAAACCCTATACAGGGTCACTGTGAGTTGGAACCAGCTCAGCAGCACTCAAAAACAATAGCATGTATAAAATACTTCGATGACATATCGAAGCTCCTGAGCTTCCTCCTCCCTGACAGTTGACACAAGCCAGGCTGCCTTGACTTTCACACACTGGGTGCCAACTTCTTGTGGGCTCCTAGCCAAGATTCTGGAAGGTAAAACTAGATTAGCCTTGACAACCTTCAAAGCACAGGTCTGGTGCCCTTTTGCCTCTATTGAGACTATGGCTACCTTTTTGGCTGGTGTTGCATTGGAGTACTCCTTGTATGGCCATCTTTGGAAATGGAAATTTACATAATATACAGTACGGGTTGTTGACATTTAAATATCATCCTCAACATAGTAGGAAACCAAAAACAACAACAATAAACAAACCCACTGCAGTTGAGTCTAGTCAAACTCATAGCGACTCAATAGGACAGATTAGAATTTTCCACAGGGTCTCTAATACTGCAGATGTTTATGACAGCAGACTGTTACATAGTTCACCTACAGAAGGGCTGGGAGGTTAAGACTCCGAGGTTAATACACGAGCATTTTAACTATTGTGCCACCAGAGCTCTTTTTAATAGAGCCATATAGTTAGTTATTATAGAAATTTTAAAAAGATATTTATAAATCACCATTTTCTTTTTAAAATCATGTTAATCCTGGAAATAATTAAGGTAATTTCTCTTAATTATCCAGACTATATATCTGAAATTCATAAAAGCTTGATGGCTTGTCCTAGGGCATGCATACGATTATCCACATAACAAGTATGTACTGGGTGCTGTATGTCAATGTCATAGGTACTAGGTTGTAACACTGTAAAGAAGACAAAAAGTTTCTGCTCTCATGGACTCTATAACCTAAATGAAGAGAGAGATAACCAGCGTGTAAGTAAGCCAGTAAGTAAACAAACAAAATCCCCAAACTCATTGCTGTCAAGCTGATTCTGAGGCATAGTCATAGGGTTCCCAAGACTGTAATTTTTATGGGAGCAGACTGTCTCATTTTTTTTCTAGGGATGGTGCTGGTGGGTTCCAGTTGCTGATCTTCCGGTTAGCAGCCAAACAATTAATCACTGTGCCACCACACTTCCTTAAGCAAATAAATGTTTTAAAATCATAATACAATTATGAGGAAAATAAAACCAGCTAGTGGAATAGAGAGTACTCGGGAGGGGCAACATTAGAGTGGCAGGAAAAGCTTCTCTGAGAAGGTGGCATTATAGTTGAGCTCTGAATGGTAAGGATCCAGTCATGGAAAGACCCAACGTAGACACAAAAGGCAAATGACAGAGTTGGGAATAGAATCCAGGTGTCCTAAATTTCTACCCAGGACTACTGCCTTAAATTGAAAGAATGGTGATATAGAGGCTGACTAGGTACATTTAACACTTATCCATAAGCAACCCTCCCTGCTTTACTACCCACCTTTCTTCTTTGAGTGACTCTATCACAGGTCTTCACTAGCCACCTTTCTGATTCCGTATTTATCAAAAAATCACAAAAACATTCAGGCCAGTTTTGGTGGCTGGGCTCTTTCCAGATGTTCCCCTAGCAGGCACAGAAAGGTCTGTGTGGCCACAGGTAGGTAGTAAAGCCTCTGAACTAAGCTCCAAGTTATACTTCTTCCACAATTTCCCCCTCCAGACTTGGCCACTTCTTTTTAATTGGAAGAATCATTAATGTAGCAAAGTTTCTGTCTTGGCTGGTCTCTTGAGATGCTGAGAAAAGTAAGCCCAAGAGCTGAACTGATGTGACGTCCAAGATGGCTGGAGCAGTAAGCACAGCTATCCCTAGTGGGTATTTTCACTGAGTCATACTGAGAGTTCAGGAACCTGTAGTCACCACTGAGATGTTTTAGAAACCGCTGAAAGAATCAAATTGACTATGTGATGCATCGTGTTACAAACTTTTTATCTAAAATGCCTTTTTACTTATATTAGTCTAAGCCAGAATTAAAACTACAGTTTTACTAGGAATTATGTATGAAATGGTCCATACAGAAGATGGTATAAATAATATATTTCATATTTTATGATATGGCATTTCATTTTGCTTATCTGACACTTTACTCTGATTTATTGTTGTTTGTTGTTGTTAAGTACTATTGAGTCGATTCCAACTTATAGTTACCCTATATAGGATTTACAAGGAGCTGCTGGTGGGTTTGAACCACCAACCTTACGATTAGCATTTCAGTGCTTATCCTGCAGAGCCACACCAGGCCTCCATAAACTATAAATTACTTTTAAACATCAAAGAAGTATTTAGTTAGCTTTTATATGTTCAATGAAGTATCTGAATACCACTCAGTGTTCTAAAAAAATATACTTGTACCTGGGGTACAGGTGCTAACCAACCATTTGCTTTGTACCATCTTTTTCCATTTGCTATCAAACCAGGTTTAGGTTGTGGAAGTTAGGTTGTGGGGATATAAAAATGAATGATAAATTAATATTATCATCTACATAACCTCCATTTCCACTCTCCAATGCTTGTTCCCATGCACTCACATGAGCATGCACATGCACACACATGCAGTCACTCATTGGGAAGGCAGAAACAGCCTCAGTCTTCCTTCGTGCTAACTCATTAAAATATTTTCGTAGGAAATCTCAAGTTATGCATCTTAAGGGCTATAACCACTGGTTTTTAAGGAAATAGTATTGTTTCCACAGTAGATATTATAGACATTTCTTTGTAGGCAGATTCTTTTAATTCTGTTGCCTGGCTAGGCATAATTTTGTACCAATTTTAAGTACAGAAATGATTCTCGCTTTTTTTTTTTTAATTAAATTAGTATATTAGGTGATATTTGAACCAGTTATGAGCTTCTGCTATGGCATGATGGGCTGACAACACACATTGAAGAACTCTGCCTCAAATTCAATTATCCTGGGGCATCACCACTGCCG